ACTGAAGTCTTACGGGCAGTTCTGTTTCTTTCTGTCTTTACCATTTCTATCCTTGTTTTGTTTCCATTCCTCTTTCCTCTGTCATTCCTCCCCTTTTACCCTCTCCATTTTTACCTGCTATCTCTCCTTCCTTATTTGTTCTGTCTCTCTGTCTGTTCCTCTTTCACTCCCACATGTGGCTTTAGCAGAGCTCTGGCCACCCTCCTCAGTTGCCCTGTGGTCTCTCCATGATCCTCCTTTCATTCATCTCTCTCTGTTCCTCTGCTTCATTTTTTCTTCTCTCTCTCTTTTTTTTATTAGTCTTTTTTTAAACTGCATATTCTTTTTTTTCCACATCACCGCCTCATCCTGCATATATTTTGTCTTGCAAAATATTTCTTGAAACCTGTATAAAGCAACAACAATACAATTCAGGCTCCTGGGATAACAGCAAGAGATTGGTTAGAGAACAAGCTTCCTCCCTCAATGCTGAGCGTTCAACACAAAGAAATACACTGCAGACTGGGAGAAGCACATCTCCCATCTGCAGAGCATTAAAGATCTGATGTGTGCAGACACTGCTCCATCATATGGTGCTGAGCAGAAAGAAGAATTGTTAGGTGGGAGTTAACTGAGCACATGCATCTGTTGAGGGATCACAGTATTTCTCAAATACTCCTTAGCTGAGACTCGCATTGACTCCCACTCGGTTGAAGTATGATGTTCTGTCACTCTGAGTACGGATTTGATGGATTAAAAAGCAAGAGGTTAGGGTTTGTCATTGATGATACAGGGCAGGAGTTTTCAGTCAATCACAGCCCACCAGGGAAAAAAATCTGAGCCATGGAGTAATATCCTGTAATTCACAGTGTCTGTCGCCGTGGTTTTTCTTGTGTTCTTTGTTCTGGGTCTTGGTCCCACTAGCATCCCGGCTGGGGTCTCAGAAGACTGAACCCAAGCTGTGGGTTCAGGAAGACTACCTGTGGAGCTGCATGCCGACAGAGCTAGAGCTGCTCCTCAGGTAGTGGTCAAAGTGGGGTTTGGCATGCATCAGCTTTTGAGTGAAATGACTGGTAAAAAATAGAGGTACGCCAGGATATTATTTTAGGTTTGAGGGTGTTTGCATTCCATCCCATGGCAGGCTTGTTTTGCAAGCTGGAAAAGTGTGTCCTATATATTTCTGCAGGTCACTAATTCACACTGCTTCAACTGTGCTGCATAGATACAAACTAGTATAAATACCCTTACCCATATTGCAGTTTTCTTCATGTTCTGTGTGCATACAGTGTTAAATCCATCGGTTCATCAAGCTCCAGTCCTGGTAGATGAAAATGTAGCATTTCTTTGCCTCATACAGGGATAGCAAGGTACTCAAAGACTGTAAAATAAGACTCAGATGAAGCATGACAAATTAATGTTCGTAAACCTGACTTCTTTCAAACAAATATGATTTTTTAAAAAAAAGTTGGGGGAAGAGCAAGAATGCTGCTACCTTTCACAATATCCAATTTTGGGATAAAATTAGTGTCAAAATGCCCCTTTTCAGTGTTGACACTTCATGCTTTTTAGATAAAGGAAAAGAAGTTTCAACATAAAAAAAACCACTAAACCAAAAAATACTTTTAAAAGTGAAATTTTGTGGAAACCCTCAATCACATGAAATCAGTCAGTCATGGTTTAATGAAAACAATGTTTCTCAATGGAAACTTCATTCACCACTTTCTTTTTTTTCTTTTTTTTTTTTTTCCTGACTGAGTACTTAGAACAGATGTAGGCATCTTCATGGATGTTCTTCAGGTACTGAGTGGGCTTTATAAATCTTTATAAACTTTTATTTGTGGTGTGATACAAAATTGCAGCCTTCCACCTACAATCTCATAGACTGTGCTAATCTTTTATAAGTTCTTTTCTTCATAAATTACCCATTTAGCCAAGAATGGATTCCATGCCTGTGCAAAGAATAATTCTGTATTTGATAAGAAGCAAGCAATCCTATGCACTGAATTGATGTCAAGAGTAAAGAGAGTCTCTAGGGAAAGGATGCCTCAGATGACTGTATTTTATGGAAAAGATTGTTCACATGCACAGAATGGACTCTAATTTCACTATCTTCCCTTCCGAAAGGCTTTGTATTCCAGCAGTGACATTAGTCAGAGGACAAAGTATATGATGAAATAGGGAAGGTGAACGTAGGAAAGGCAAAATATCGCATATATTTCTATTGCTAACCTAGATAAAAAACAGACAGACTTCTCTCCCTGTCACCCCTTCATTGGATGTTCTAGAGAAATGTGTTCTTCTGAATGCTTTCCACATGAGCTTTTGTTTAAAGAAAAAAATAACATGTATTATTTATGCTTTTTAAACAAAGGGCACATTTTCACTTACAAAACTTGAATTGAAACAATTAAATGGGATAAAGTAAGTTTGTATCAGTAATTTACTATAATTATTCTAATGTTTCAGACATCAATAAACTTAGTTGGTTGCTATTTAATGTCAAAGTAATTACTCCAAAATGACATCAATTTGCCATCCTAAAGAAAACAAAAGTAATAAAACTTTCACTTTCTGCACTAAAGACTCTTTCACACTAGTTTCTATAACCTAGTTATATAATACGTTAGTGTAAATATTTAAAAGAGACAACTAAATTCCTTGCCAGGGAAGATTTCTTAACCTCTATTAATCCATCTTTTATTACTACTGTAAAAGGAAAATATTAATTAAATCTGTCAGATCTTGGACACACTTAAACGTCTTTAGTGATGCAATCTATATTTTTGTTTCTCCTTCCAGCTTTCTAGGAATGCCTGCTTTCTCCATTGGCTTATGGCACTTACGAAGGATACAAGCCTGGTCCAAATGAGAAAAGTACAGTGTATTCCTTGACTTATATGCGGTGAGTATTTAGTTTAAGTCTTCTCCCTTACGCTTATATGAACTGATTTTTTTTCTCTCTTATTATCTGAAACGACATTAGCAAGAAAAATTGTAATTCCGAGCAATCATCTAGGTCCCAGTTCTGCAAAATGAGTATCTGAAAGCTAGGCATTTTGTTAGACTGGGAGAAGACTGAGAATTAAGTGATCTTGGTAAAACTGGAAGTATGATGTTGGCCTATTTCTAGGGCTGGGAACAAGATGAGAAAGTTACCCGAAGTGTTGACAAAACATGGAACATTTCTCACTGTGTGGCCTGTTGACTAATGGACGTTGCAACAGGCTGGACAAATCATTGAACACATACACATTTTTAGAACTTAATAGTCTTCTACTTACAACTTTATAAAAGCTCTGAATAAATCTGTTCAGCAATAGCTGGAACTAGAACAAATATTGGTCAATGAGAAGCAGAATATAAGTTGTGCTTTCAATAAGAACAGAATTAAAATTGAAACTAAATTGTTGCACATGGAATAGGATAAAAACCAGAACTAATTAATTACTATGCAACTAAATAAACACTGGTACTGTGTGAGCCTAAGGGTCTATCCACATGGATTCCTTTTTGGTGTCAAGGCTGTGCTTGGTTACAACTAGAAGGGCCAAGATTTATCCGAGTTTAACTATCCTGTGGATATATAGGAGATACAGGAACCCAAAGTGAATTTAGCAGGCTTTCAAGCATGTTCCAGTTAGGGATCTGGACTCTAACTGGAACTATGAGAACTCAGTACTGCTTATAGCCAAGTGATGAAATGGATGGAAATTGAAATGAACCATAAATGTGACGACACGGAAATACGTACAAAGATGAAATACCTCATGTTTCAGACATTGTAGAGTCATTAAATGGCTCTATGTTGTAGAAGTCTTTGGATACCTAATAGAATGCTTATAGCATTTATTTGTGTTTTGATAAGCGTTTAAGGCTACTCATTATATAATCAAGTGGCTAGTCCAAATTTGCCTCCCCACACACCCTCCCACTTTAAATGGGCTGCCATTTCAAACCATGGACATGGCAAAATATTTGATTGCCTACATTTATATTGTCTCCGAAGGCCGCAGTGATGGAATTAGATGCTTCTTACAAAATGTTGCTATTAACCATATGTCGGGGTTTAACCCCAGCCGGCAACTAAGCAACACGCAGCCGCTCGCTCACGCCCCCGCAGTGCGATGGGGGAGAGAATCGGAAGAAAAGCCACGCACACAAGCAAAGCAAAACAAGGAATTCATTCACTCCTTCCCATTGGCAGGCAGGTGTTCAGCCATCTCCAGGAAAGCAGGGCTCCATCATGCTTAATGGGTACTTGGGAAGACAAACGCCATCGCTCCGAACGTCCCCCCCTTCCTTCTTCTTCCCCCAGCTTTACACGCTGAGCATGATGTCATATGGCGTGGAATATCCCTTTGGTCAGTTGGGGTCAGCTGTCCCAGCTGTGTCCCCTCCCAGCCTCTTGTGCACCCCCAGGCTACTCGCTGGTGGGGTGGGGTGAGAAGCAGAAAAGCCCTTGACTGTGTAAGCACTGCTCAGCAGTAACGAAAACATCCCTGTATTATCAACACTGTTTCCAGCACAAATCCAAAACACAGCCCCATACCAGCTACTGTGAAGAAATTAACTCTATCCCAGCCAAAACCAGCACACCATACTGTGCTCACTTAACCAGGTGCTGAGTATTCACAGGGTTTGCCTCTCTCTCCTCATTGTTTCCAGTCAGGTTGAAAGTTGCCCGGTAGCTCACACTCACACCGAGGGGAAAAGGTGTGATCTCTAGCTATGCCACATTGCACTTTGCTGAGTAGAGGCAAGAGACCAAGCTGAAGTTATACAGACACAGTAGCAACAAAGGACCTGGCCTCAAAATCACTGTTTTGAGAAAGCAATGGTATGAATAAGGCATGAACGACCTTAGGAGAGAATTCAACAAAGGGGCAAGGGAAGAAAAGAAGATGGACACAATGTGAGGTCATGAGGTTTCTTGTAAACTCAACACAGTGCTGAAGTCACCACTGTGTGTACCTGCTTCCAAACATGGCTATCTGTGTTTCAGAAGAAAAACCACCATCATGGTTTGATAACATACTGATTTTTAATCTATAAAGAAGATTAAATTCAAAGTTTAACAGTATAAAAGAATAACAAATACTTTTAAAAACAAAAATACAAAATAACACACAGTTGCGTCTTGGTTCCTCCTGCTGCCGAAGCTTAGAGTACACAATTTCTGGGGTACAATTCCACTGCATACAGTGTTTCCTATTACTTCAGCATATGTTGAAATTGAAATGAAACATTTTTATTTGCAAAAAAGCTTTTCAAGGTACAAGCTCAAGCCAGGGTGCTATTATGATTAGCTAGTCACATGTCAGATCCCACACGTTATTTAAACAAACCAGAATGAAATCACTGCTTGTTGCAACATTCCTGCCTTTTCATGTCAGCTCCTAGATGCCAGCAGTCCATCTACCACTGCATCGATCAACCCAGCTGCTTGTAACTCACAGTTGTTTAAGAGCTGAACCTTTTTTACTTGGGTCCCCTGCTCTAAATTCACATCCGCAAGTTCTTATTCCCCTCAGGCACACATACGAAAAAGCGCGGGGGGGGAGGGGGGCAAATGACAGAGAAGGTATGAAAACTTGTGAGAACTTCTTTCAGACAGCAAGGAAAAAGCCTCAGGCAGGGGTGATGTGAGTAGCCCCTCCTGATGGCAACTGTTCGTAATTTCTTCAGCTTTACCTCTAGTGGACCCTGAGGCAAACCAAAGAGTTGATGGGGGCAGCCAGGTGTAGGGGAAGAAAAAGTTGAACAATCTGTTTAGCCTTCCCTGTCTCTTTATAGTTAGATTTACAATTCTGACCCATATAAACTCTGCTCCTGCTTTGCACTGGCCACAGAAACATGCTTTTAAGCCCAGGCTGAACCAGACTGGAGTGACATTACCTTACTCCTTGTTGGTTTGTTGTATTAATAACCCAAGCGAAAACAAACAAGGGAAAAATCCTACCAAAACTTATAATGGAAGGCACCTCAAAAATGGATAAAAGGATACATTTTTCTACAAGTATCCCAACCGTAGAATAACTGTTTTGAATCCATTAGTGGTTGCGTTCTCATTGCATGATCTTTGGAAAGCATAATAATAACAATAAAACCAAAATGAAATAAAATATTGCCACCGATGAAAAATCTGTTCAGTTAAAAACTGCAAAACCAAGTAAACAGCAATTTACACACTTTCCTCAGTCCTGCAAACCTGAAACATCCAACACTGCTTGGACAAAATTGAGAATACAGTAGACTTTTCAGCATAATTCTACTTAAATGACAGTATTGATTAAGAAAAACAAAGTATACTATTGAAACCAAAATACATAGAATCAGGTTTCTATGCTACTGTTTGCCAAAAAGCTATTTTTTAAAAAATGGTTTAAATGCAAACTTTTACATCTTCAACACGTTTTACATATTTCAGACAACAAAGGAATACACATACATTGTATGTGATAATTTTTCAAAACTAGCCATTACATTTTCACAGATTAAAAAAAAAGTCTGTTTAAATATTTCATTTCTACAAAGTGAATTTACATTTTTTAGTACAAAGTGCAAATACTACAGTTGTTTTTATTGCCTTTTGGTGAGGAAATCTCCCACATGTCAGAGATCTGCCTTGGATCAGTAAGCTGTTCACCCTTGCTTCTTAGAAACTTGCTGAAAGAAAGAAAGTTGGAAAAAATTGCATTATTAATGATGTTTTCAAGTAATCAAGTATAAACATTTATCTCTTTTTCAGCAGTGTCCACATGCCACTATGAAACAATTGTTCTGCACAAATATGTATGGGGAATAAAAAAAATCCCTGCCCTATAGTCCTTCATGGCATCTACGAACAAGGGTATGAGCAACATCTTTACCATTTCTTATCTATGGTCTCTTTAAATCTATACCTGTCAAACACACAGTTTTAGCAACTGCCTGGGCAAGTCCCTGGTGCAATATACCTTTCTATGGCATGTGATGTATAAGGAATGGGCTGCTGGCCAAAGTCTTATGAACAATCTATAGTTTCCTTGTAAACTCTTTGCTAGGCTGCAAAAGACCCTCTGGGTCTCACTGACAGCGTGTGTGCATGTATGTGTATATTTGTTGGACAGGGTGGAGCTGCGCAAGGGAAATATACCTGGCCACTACCCCAGTTCTGTCAGATCCATCATGTATTTGACCTCTTTTAGAGCAACCGCAGCTGAGACTCAGTTAGCATATTAGTATATGTATCCATATCTGCTTTCTTTCAGTAAGCTTGTATGTGCATGTACACGTACAGATGTGCCCATATGTAAAAAAAATATGCAGGAATACATGCCTAAGCACACATAAACATATACATAACTGAACTGCCACAATAAACTAGTAGAAAATGAGCTCTTGAGTGCCCATCTCCTGAGTGGTGCAAAGCTGATCACTCCTTCTTAGGTGGGTGGTTTCCTTTAAGCAGCTCCTACCCAGCCCAGTTGCTTTTCAATAACTTCCTTTCAAGTGAAAACTTTTGTGATGAAAGCCACCTTCTGCATTTGCAGCCTTGTATTGTTTGAATATGAAACTGCCCACAGATGGTTTGCTGAGCCAGCCTTAATTCCAGGCTATCATTTGTCAGCAACAGCTTTTAAAAGAATTGGTGCTGAGTCAGCAAAATTATTGGACAAAATTTAAAAACATAGACGCTCTAGGACACTTTTATTACAGATTCTGCAAGTCAGGATCAGATTACAAGAAAGGGGAGAGGGCTTGTCATGCTTCAAGTGTAATGCACGTGTGCCAGTAATTGCCATTATATGATTAAAATAACCCCTTTGAATGTTTTTGAGTTCCGACAGGATAATTGTTTTCAGGCTGTCTTATTTAAAGCATAAGTGATTTGTGGGGGGAACTTGAAAAGTTAAGACCACAAACATTTGTTTAAACAAACAGAAACTTATCACATCCCTCTAGCTGTGAGAATATTTTATATTCCATCAAAGATATGTAGGAAGTCTCTGGTAGAACCCACAACCAATGTTGAGCTTGCCTTAGGAAGTGTGAACCCAGCACCAAACAAATCAGAGATAAAGTAAGTAACAAACTGACTAGCAACAATGAGAGGAAGATTTCTCTTGGCTTGTGGGGAGGTTCACCCTGGGTTCAGTTTTTAACAAATTAATCTAGCTTTCTGGTAGATGCGAAGACATTCACCACAACTATGGTTTTGGGATATTGTTAGCCAAATTCCTATTTTCCCAGCTGCAGGGTTACCTGAGCTGTTCTTATAATATGTTTGTAGGAATATTTTTAAAAAACAATTCATCATTTACTGATGCTTTTGTGGAAATTAATCATTTAATTCCTCTAGCTAATACGAAAGTGAGGCAAGAATGGTATGAAGATGATTCTTTTACTAGACCATTCAAATAACTGGCAGACTCACAAGTCCTTCTTCAGACCCATGCAAAAGTGCCGGGAAGTTGTGCCCATGTTGTCCAGAAAAGTGAATCTTTAGGATTAATGATTATAAAAATAGACACACACAAATGAGAAGCCCTTTCTTAACCTTTTTCCTGAGCTTCCATTTGAATCCCTCCTTTTCAATTTGTACCTTTCTTTGATTTAAAAATTCTGCTTTTGTGCCTTTTGTAGCTCTGAATGCCTTGAGTAGCCAAAACGCCATGAATGACATACACCGGTGTTACTCAGAAAAACAAAATCAAGTCTTTGCAGAAAATTGATGCAAAACCAAATCATGGATTATGTTGTCAGGACACCTGACATTTTATTTACTACAATCATTCTGCAGACCTAACCAATTTTAGTTTTAACATACATTAGCAGACTGATGCAAATCCTAGTTCTCCAGCATCATTTTGCTCAGCCAGCAAAGGCATTTGAAAGTGACAGCTCTTTTCTCTACACTAAGATTTTAAAAGGTGTTTTAAACCACCACACAATAATTCAGTGGGGTTTGTGAAATGCATAGATTTTCATAGGACATGGGAAACGCATGGCTTTTTCAAAAAGAGTAATTTCAATCAAAGTTTGTGTCTATAGTATGACTCACAGGAAAATTAACGGAATTCAGTTAAAGCAAAAGGTAAATGAAGATAAAGCAGTGCATATTTAAAAGTGTATGGGAATGCCAACATTCAGGAATGCAGAAGACTTATACGAGGGCTCAGTTACACTCATCTAATTATCACTAACCTAGACGCTAATTACACTTTACTAGGAACATCCACATGCAGGCATAATCCACTTTGCATTTTTGCACATTTACTCTGCACCTGTAGTTGACTAATTCAGCTTTCGTTAGATAGAACTTAAATCAAAATTTGTTAACCAGGATGCTGCTCTACATTTTCCTGGCAAGCCTGCAGAATGGCTGATGAATGTAGTTTGAAGCTGCAATGATAGCTGCTAAAACCCCAAGAAGTTCAGCTGGGCAAGACAGAAATGGAGATTTTGCTCTCCTCAGTACTCACCTGCCTGCTGGATGAAGTGCTCTCAGTGTTGGTTTTAGGGGCTGCTAAAGGACAGAAAAGAAAACATTATGAATATAGTTTGCAAGTTATATGTACCATCCTGAAGAACTGAAGCCCTCATTCTGGTATTTTTTAGAGCAAGGTAGCTGCACAGCTTTCAATAAATGAGATGATACAATATTTCAGATCTTTCATTGAAATGTCCACTTTTTTCTTTCCTCAATACAGGTGTTGCTTCTATCATGTTGTATGAAAGTTGGATGACAACATTTCTTGCCAGTTAATACGTGACATTTGCTTAGGATAGATTTCATCTAGTCAGTGTTGAGCATTTCAAACTTATTAAATCTTTAGTAGCAAATATAGCCTGTTATCCTCGGTGGGAAAGAAGCACGGACAAGCAGTCTGTCTGGAAAGCATTCACTTTGCTTAAAGACATTGCACAGGAACAGCTCTACCAGCCAAAGATGTTGTTCATATATAATCTATAAAACAACAAGATTATCGCTGTTTTTTTAAGTTTCTTAGTGGCAAAGTCCAAGACAGTGCTCTAAATGAGGGAAAAAAAAAAGCTACATGAGTCTGCTGGCCCATTCAACTTCATGAGCAAACTTGGGGGGCTAGGGAGGAACTCACCCTCGGTTTTCCATGTCAGTTTGTTAGTCAATCAAGCTGCACTGGGGCAAAGGGGAATGAAACTGGACCTTGAAAATACTGCAGAAACTACCATTCCCTTGAGAAAGTATATTGTGCAGCTCTCTGGCTCTTACATTGCTTCAAATGATTCTCACAAGACACCTGGGACTCACACAGAATGATACAGAGCAGCCTCCTTATCTCAGCTTTCACACCTCAGGTGGCAGGGTCTCACCCATTCCTAGAAATATAATTCTAGCTTTAGTAGCGTGGCGACTGATTTTTTTTGTGCAAGTGAAAGGATTATCAGAAAGGAAATTTTAATTATCAAGCAGGAGAAACAAAACAGAATGCTGATATTCCAAAAAAAGCAATTTTTATTGTCTTGTCTTTAAAAATATATATTTCTAGGAAAGCAACCAAATGATTTGGTTTAGATTTTTTTTCCAACTGGATGCCATTAGTTTTTCAATGCAAAAGTTCTGAGGTATTTTTTGCTTCCAAAAATTAATGTTCTCATTATTGACTACATTTATTTTTGAGAAGATCTGTTAAAAATCTCCAGTTATGGTGAACATAATTTTTTCTTTAGCTAAATCTGTGTGTGATCTTCATATAATTTCACACCTCTTACAACTTTCTTTTCTGAAACAGGCAGCTTATGTGAAGCAGGAGAATCTTAATCTTTGTTTTTTTCACTGAAATGGGCACAGGAAAAACTGGGGTTTGGTTTGAGCCTTGCTATAGCTTCCCTTTATGTCCTGGAGCATTGGACCCAAATTTCATCTACGGTAAGACCAAGGAGTGCCAGCTGCAGCAGGGCAGAAGTGTCTGGATGTTAACATATGGAGTGACTATAATGGTCTCCACTTTAAGACACTAGTCTGCCAAACAGTGAAAATGAAAAAGGTATTATATTTCAGTTTCCACATTCATAGCACAAAGATAACAACAGTCATCCTCATTCATATACAGTTTTTTCACCTCTCTCACCTAAGTGAAAATTGCAAGGTATTATTATTAGGTCCATAAAAACCAGAAAAAAATCCTGCATTTGATATATTTGTTTCAAGAGATCTGTTTCTGTGAGGCATAGACAAATTACTTTATTAGTACAATGTAGAGCTATTCCTTTCTGCAGTATTCACTTTCTAGGCTTGAATAAAACTAATTTTGTGGAAACCATTTTATTTCTGACTGCATTTCCCACTTGATTTGCTTTTCATTTCCTATGACACCTTTGTTTTACTGCCTTGGCTTCATTTTAAGGTCCCAGGCAAACAAAATAATTTGCCTGTATTTCATGTTCTACAACTTCTTACAGTATGGGGAACTACTGTTGTTGTTTACAATTTTTTAAAAAAATTCTTCTGCGGTTTTGGGAATTGTGTGATTGAACTCTGCAGGGACCATTACACACTGTAGTTAGTTGTTCCCCTTTCTACCAGTTTGGCAGCAAGGTGAGGTGGCTGGGTACCAGCAGCTGTTCCACCTGTTTGGCACATGACCGTATTCCTCACTGTATCTCTAAACCACATTCGAGAAATGAGGAGTCATTAGAAAGCT